GAGGTGCGCGTCGCGCCCGCGCCCCCGGACCTCCCCGCTCCCGACCCGCGCCCCAAAGCCAGCGAAGCGCAGGGCCATGCGGGGCCGCCCCGCGGCGCGCGCTTCTCCACACGGCGGGGGCCCGGGGGAAAGCGCCCTGAGTGCGCGTTGGTAGGACCCTGCCACAGACAGTCCGCAAGCAGAACGTGGGAGTTCTGCTGTCTAGTTTTGATTTGTTCAACTTTATTAAAGATTTTAATTCACTGCAATCTGATTTAGATTCAGTTAGTTCATGTCTTCCAGTGGCTTGGCACAGTTTGTCTTCTGGAATAGCACAGTTTACTTTAAATGTTTTTGACCATCCTACTTTGGGAAGTAGGAATTAATCACAGGAAGGAATGGAGAGGCTATCAGTGGGTACACCGCCGATACCTTGAGTATGAATAAATTATATTTTTACTATTCTAAGCAGTTTATTTGAGATGTTTCTAACTGATAATGGACTTAAAGTGTAGCAGATTCTGAGGTCTTGGACTCTTCTTTGTCCTTGCAGGAGGATGCTCGTGACTTGGATGCCTATACACTGGCTAAATCTTACTTCGATCTGAAGGAATATGACAGGGCTGCGTATTTTCTGCGGGGCTGCAAGAGCCAGAAGGCTTACTTCTTGTATATGTACTCTAGGTACCTGGTAAGCCAGATGGGAAAAATCACTTTATCACAGAACTCATCTGCTTTCCTCCCCTCTCTCCTGTAGAAGCTGGCACACCTTAGCTTTTGGTCCCATTCCAAATGACAGTATAGAAAGGCAAATTATATAGGGGGAGGATTGTTTTTTTTTGGTTGTTTGTTTTCTAACTGAGACAAGTAGAATTGTCTCTGGTGCTCTTGAAAACTCAGTTGAGGTGCTGCTGCTAGAGTTATAGAAGACCTAAGGAATATGCTACTGTAAAACAAGCTTGTTTTTATTCTATTTTCCACAGTCGGGAGAAAAGAAGAAAGATGATGAAACAGTGGATAGTTTGGGTAAGTCTCTGATGTCAAGGAACATAAGACAATATAGTAAAGCTTCCAGTAATGCCTCTTCAGGCAAATCATTTCAGTTGTATGACTTTCACCTTGATTCTTTGGATAATGCACTGTAACATAGTTTGCTTTCACTCTCAATATATTGGCTTGATGCAGGTTACAGATTTGCATCTTGTAGTTCTATTTTTAAAGTAGCTGATTAGACTTAAAGATTATCTTTTAAGAAGAGAATAATAACCAGAGGGTGGTAAGCTTTCAGTGCTAGACTCTGAATTAAGCCTTGACTTCACAATTATTGTGGTAAGAACCTTGGTTGAAAGCTATTTGACCTTGTCTTCATGCAGGACCTCTGGAAAAAGGGCAGGTGAAAAACGAAGCTCTACGAGAATTAAGAGTAGAGCTTAGTAAGAAACACAAAGCACGAGAACTGGACGGATTTGGCCTTTATTTGTAAGTGTTTTCATATATTTCTGATGTACTCGTGTACACTTATATGGGTACACAGAGTATATGCCTCTGATAATTTGGTAACTTTTTCTCTAGGTATGGTGTTGTGCTGCGGAAGCTGGATCTGGTGAAAGAAGCCATAGATGTATTTGTGGAAGCTGCTCACGTCTTACCTTTGCACTGGGGAGCCTGGCTCGAGCTTTGCAACTTGATCACAGATAAAGAGATGGTAAAAACTGGGAAATATCAGGACGTGTTGATGAATGAGTCTAACATGATTCAGTAACTTAAGAGATTAGTTGTCATGAGATTAGTGCCACATACTGCCTTATTCTTCTGCGAGACTCTGTCAGGCGAAGCAACCCAAACAGTAAATTTGTTGTTGAATTGTATTTTTCTGTAATTATTTGCCATGCTGTAGTCTGAGAATCTTTATTGCAGCCAGGGCTAACTTCTCATTCACCCATGGAATGGCTACTTCACACATTTTGAAATAGTTGTCAGATATTTATTGCCATGTAAGTGGGATCTTTATTAGATCTTTTTTTTTCTTATTAACATATCTGGTTCTGGTTTCACAGTTGCTAATTAATTTTGTTGGTGGCCTGAAATTATATATAAAAATGCTATTGGTAACGTTTTTGAATGATTGAAAGTTTGTGGTTTTGTTGACACTATTGTGTCTATATTAATGATACTAATCCTTTGGTAAACAGCCATTCAACCAAATAAGCTTTTAATAAGGCTGTTCTTTCATTATTAGCAAGTGCAGTGTAGTAGGCTTGAATCTGTATTGAGAAAAAATTGTATCTGGAGACCTTGTATTTCCACTGTACATGATTTGGAGAGTTTACTTTGAACTAGCTGTAATGTTCTATTTTGTGGCTTAGATCCTTATTAGTCATAGGTAATTAGTAAGTAGAGTGCATCTCTGAGTTTAGTTTCATCCTGAGACAATATAGTTTACATTCTCTGATATAATTTCTTGATGTGAAACAAAATAGGATAGTTGGGGTAATTGAGAAGTTCACTTCAGAAGTGTAGTTCTCATCCAAACTAAAATATATATATATATAGAGAGAGAGAGAGAGAGATGTGCCATTTGTCAAATACAAGCCACACATATTAAATGAGGGAGTGTATCAAATAACTGAACTTAGATACAGAAAATTAGAAGATTTTTTTTTTCTTTATGCATGGGACTGATGTGACCACTCCAGGAATTCTCACTCGATTCTGGCTGGTAGAATACTTTAAAAAGCAGTGATGGTACAGAAGAGAGTCTTATGGATTTGTGGAAAAAGAGGAAAGTATTTCTGATGAGATTACTTGCAGTTGTATTCATTTGGCACAACACAAATACCAACAATTTATTTATTTGTTTATATTCAAATATGTAAGAAAAATAACATATTTTGAAGGCCATTTGAATTTAGTGGAGAAGTAAGGCCAGTAGCAGAAGCAGAAGACAAATGCTCTCATATATGAAAAAGAAGATCATTTCTTTTTTTCAGTAGTTGTTGAAATTACAGAAGAATTGCAGTCATTCTGTTTGGTCAGTCACAGGAGCACAGAGGGAGTGACTGAATGTGATTCATATTGTACTGTTCTTCAGACCAGCTGTCTTAATGCTTCTTTGTTGTTTCAATATTCTTAATTTATAGGCATCACTTTGTCTAGTGGAAGAACCTGATATTCTTGGTGTTAATGCAGCTCTTTCATAGCTGGTATTATGGCCTAAGAAAAAGATTACAGGAAAGTCTCCTATCTCAAGACCATCTACAAGACCATAGGAGGGAAGATAATGGATTCTTTGCCACAGATGGCTCTTAGAATACTACTGATTGTCATCTCTTCTTTGGTTCTTGCTAGTTGAAGTTCCTGTCCTTACCAGATACATGGATGAAAGAGTTCTTTCTTGCGCACATTTATACAGAGCTGCAGCTGATAGAGGAGGCTTTGCAGAAGTATCAGAGTCTCATTGATGCAGGATTTTCTAAAAGCACTTACATCATCTCTCAGATTGCAGTTGCCTACCACAACATCCGAGGTCAGTGATGCTTACTAGCAGGACCGAGCCGTTTGATGCAGACTTAGCAATTGTAGGTTTTGTTCTCACATCTGCTTTTCCTTGTTCAGATATTGACAAAGCTTTATCCATCTTTAATGAGCTAAGAAAACAAGACCCTTACAGAATAGAAAACATGGACACTTTCTCCAACTTGCTGTATGTTAGGGTAAGCACCTTTTATGTTGCCTATGGTATGTTGCATATCATACTAGTATTTATCAGAGGTTCTGTACCCATTGGCAAAGCAGCTGTTACGTAACCTCTCTGAAGATAGGCTTTCAGCCTTTTTCTGCCCCTTACCACTCCATTGAATAGGTGCCAGATGTGTATTGCCAACCCCCTAGATTTTCGTCTACCAGAAAGTGTAATGTGCTTTTCCCTCACCAGTTTCATTTTTGTTTTACTAGAGCATGAAGCCTGAATTAAGCTACCTCGCTCACAATCTCTGTGAGATAGACAAGTATCGTGTTGAGACCTGCTGTGTAATTGGTGAGAACCAGTTCTATTACTTGTTCTTATGCTGTCTGCAGACTGTGGAAGTCTTAATAATTCTTACGAAAGGATCCACCAGCAAGGGTGTAGAAATCAATTTGTGAGTGTGGTCTCACACAGCCTTAAAATGCAGGCAAAATGACAGAGTAGCCCTTTCCATCTTCTCTCTGAAAAAGCCACTTTCAAGATCCTCAATGCAAAGAGGAGTTGAAGAAAACCTTACTAAGACCCATGTAGTGCATAATCCCTTCATTTGTAGTCCTGACACTCCAAAAGAAATAGTTCTGTATCAGGTCTGGGAAATTCATTTATTAGATCATGAAATAGGCTTTCAAGGCAAGGGATGGGATCTGAATTGGTTCATGCTGCTGGAAAAGGATTTGAACAGAACAATGGAGAACAGACAGCTATTTTAAGTTAAAAGGTAGTAAATAATGCCTCTTCCATGAGTTTCTTATCTCTCTGCTGTGTTTTGTGTTTTAAATTTATGGGTTTTTTTTTGTTTTGTTTTTGTTGTTGTTGTTTTGCTTTAGGAAATTATTATAGCTTACGCTCTCAGCATGAAAAAGCAGCACTTTATTTCCAGAGAGCCTTGAAACTAAATCCTCGATATCTGGGAGCCTGGACACTTATGGGACATGAGTATATGGAAATGAAGAACACATCTGCAGCTATTCAAGCTTATAGGTATCTCTTATGCATCCCACAAAATAACATTGAGGTCTGCATACACAAGGATTGGATTAATATCTATTATATTTCCTTGTTAGTCTTTTGCTGAATTTTGTCCTCGTCTGGATCGCTCCCTGATTAGTGCGTTTCTTTTTCTTCAACAGACATGCAATAGAGGTGAACAAAAGGGACTACAGAGCATGGTATGGCTTGGGGCAAACCTATGAAATCCTCAAAATGCCGTTTTACTGTCTCTATTACTACCGACGGGCCCACCAGCTCAGGTAGAGTTAAGAACATGGCCAAATTTCTTGGAGTTCACTGTGAACTGCTTGCTGCCTGCTAAGAAAATTATATGCAGGAAATAAGTTGGGCAAAAGGGGCAAAATCATCAACTCCATGATTTGTGCAGTCTCACTATGCTAAATTCTTTCAGTTGTATTTGCTACCCTTAGCAAAGGCTTTGTCAGTTAAATACTGAGGAGTGCTGATCAGGAGTCTAGGTGAGATTTCATGTAAGAGAGAAGATGAAGGACTGGCCAGATACTGTCTGGGTTGGCTGTTCATTAAACTACATTTAGGAATTGCTTTTTTACAGACCCAATGATTCCCGTATGCTAGTTGCTCTAGGAGAATGCTATGAGAAACTCAACCAGTTGGTGGAAGCCAAAAAGGTAAGTGAGCGCTAAAATACACAGTAAGATAGGCTGGATGTTAGAATGTCTTCCAGGACGCTAGGTGGAGTTGCAGTAAAATTGTGTGGCCAGCACTGCCAGAACTGTCCCTTGGAGAGTGACAGAGATGAACCTTTGAGTAGCTGTTGATAGTTATTGCAGTCCTGAACCTAGACTCAGAATGTAAGGAAATGCGTACAGTATGTTGTTGGGGACTTATTTAAACTGCTCCTGTTGCAATAACGATTGAGTAGTTCTGCCTCAATATATCTGGAGCAGCTGGCAAAAAGAGTTGTCTACAGATTGTATATTGAAGAGATTTCTGGAGATGTTCTGGTTCAAGTCCCTGGCTAAAGCAGGGTCACCTAGGGCATGTTGCACCGGACTGCATCCTGGCAGGTTTTGAGTATCTCCAGAAAAGTAGACTCTATAACCTTTCTGACAACTTGTTCCAGGACTGTGTCACCCTCACAGTCAACAAATTTTTCCTCAAATTCAGGCAGAACCTCCTTGTGTTTCAGTTTGTGCCTGTTGCCTCTTGTCCCGTTGCTGGGCATCACTGAAAATAGTCTGGCCCCATTCTCTTGACACTCTTCCTTAAGGTATTTATACACATTGATAAGATCACCTCTTAGTCTTCTCCAGGCTAAACTAGCCCAGTTCTCTCAGTCTTTCTTCATAGGGAAGATGCTGCAGTCTCCAAATCATCTTTGTAATCATGCCCTGGACTTGTCCCTTTCTTGCAGAGCTGTGTAATTCTCATTTTGTATCATGCTTGCATGAGAGTTGTGAGCTGGAGTCAGTTTTGTCTGGTGCTTGACTGACTTCTTTTTTTTCCCTTGGCAGTGCTATTGGAGAGCCTATGCTGTTGGTGATGTGGAGAAAATGGCATTGGTGAAACTGGCAAAGTGAGTATATAGTAGCATTGAATCGTCAAGATTGTATTAAGTGAAGTTAAAGCACTGTGATGCCTATTGGTGAAATAATAAATGGAAAATGAGTGGAATTGCTTTTAGGCAATATTTACTTTCTGAGCAACGTAGTAATGTAGCCTTCTTAGAGGACTGTGGTAACCACTATTACTGCACTACTAGTGCTAGTAACCTAGTGTCCAGCCTTAGCTTTAGGTTTCCCTCAGGATAGTTAGAGAGGGAGTCATAGGATAGTGTATATTGGAAGGAACCTCTAAAACTAGGAATGATTTTGGCGGGCACTGGCAGCACTTCTGAGAGCTACTCAGAAAGAAGTACATGATGCTGGATATTATATGAGGTAATATATTGGTTTTATCAAATGTATGGATGCAACATGGGAGAAGGGTTTAACTTGCAATAAATGTGAGGACTTCAATTTTAGTACCAACTTTTGTTGAGGAAGAAGTAATATAATGGGAAAAAAATTTAAAAAAAACAAGGGGGCAAGCGAAAGGTGAAGCTGCTATACAAAGATTTTGGCATATAAAAGGGGAAGAAGGAGCACTGGAGGAAATAGAATAAGATAGAGAAGGTCCGTTTAGAAAAGAAAATGCAATAGAATAGGTAAAGGTCCCTGTTTTGACTATATCTGCAGCTGCTTCTAGCATTTAGCATCTGACTGGCCTTATGCTGGTAAACTATTTCCTGAAGTGCAGGACATGGCAACTGTCTTGCAAATTATAAAGGGAAAGGCTTGACTAGTTTAGGTCAGGTTTAATAGGTACCTTCTCATAGACCAAGAAGATCTAGGAGTTCCTGCTCTAGGCATCTTTCACAATGTCCTTTTATTACAGTGACTCATCTTTTTTCTTTTCTAGGCTGCATGAACAGCTGAATGAATCTGAACAGGCTGCTCAGTGCTATATCAAATACATCCAGGATATCTATTCCTGTGGGGTAAGACTATCTTAGGAATAAAAGTGAGAAATAAACATGATGTAGAATTACTTTGGAAGGTATTCAAAGATGATATTTCCCCCCTGATCTTGCAGGAGATAGTAGAGCACCTGGAGGTCAGTACTGCGTTCCGTTACCTGGCCCAGTACTACTTCAAGTGTAAACTCTGGGATGAAGCCTCAGCCTGTGCTCAGAAATGCTGTGCATTCAATGATGTAAGTAGTCACACACTTCCCAGTGCTTCCTTCTTAGGGGATTTCTGTCATTGATCTTGGCTCCTCTCAGAGTAGGCAGAAACTATTGTTGAAGGAATGATAGCTGTTTGCCGTGACTGACTAAGGTGGGGGAATACAGCATAGGTAGTAAAATTGAGCCATGTCATACTGGTATGTATACAATGCAGAGGATGTAATAGTACTTATTTTCTGTATGTGACTCAGTATCACAAGATCTTCTGAAGGTGTAAGTGAACTGGTTGGATTTTTAACTTCAGACTAGCAGGGGACTCAGTAGTCATGAGTTCAAGGTGTTTGGCTTATACTTAACAAAGATGTCTGGAACTTGAAAGAGAAGAACTAGAATTTGGTTTATTTGAAATTTACCCAGTCTACTTTTTGATGAAATATTTGGACACTCTTGATGATTTCTAGTACCATTTTAACCTGAAATATCAAAGTAATGTGGAAATGAAGTAAACAAATGAAGTAAGGGCTATTTAATAAAAGCTTGACATATCTTACTATTCTTGTTAAATAGCAGGAAAAAAAAGAATACTTTTAATATCTTATAGTCTTGCAGAGTGCCATACTACTGTAGCTTACATTGCTTGTGTATGGAATTTGACTCAGAAATCATCCATTCATGGAAAATGGACTTGTACTTCAACTCATGTAACATAGCTTTTTTTTTTCTTCTTTTCTTTTTTTTTTATTTAATAAATTGTTTTCAGACTAGAGAAGAAGGGAAGGCTCTGCTGCGGCAGATTTTACAACTTCGCAACCAAGGAGAAACTTCGTCCACGGAAATCGCTACTCCCTTTTTCCTTCCTGCTTCACTGTCAGCCAACAACACTCCCACACGTCGTGTGTCTCCACTCAATCTGTCTTCTGTTACACCATGAACAATGCTGATACCTCTAACCAATCTATGCACTGAATATGGCATTGTAGATGGGACTTGTTCCTGTTACTGCAACTATTTTTTTTTCCAGTGAAGTCTTTTCATTCAGTGCTGCCTTGACTTGGAGAGTATGGATTATTATAGTCCGCAGGTGTGTCCAAACAGGAAAGGTGCAGCCTACATGAAAGTGCCTATGCTGAGACGTCAGAATCTGCTGTACATCTCACCAGATCATTCCAGTCAGAGGGCATACCTGTTTCAATACGTATGATTACTCATAACTGAGAGTGGGAAAGAGCTTGTCTGCTTGAGTTAAAACATGTTTGAAGTTTGCTGATTCTACCCTGTTATCTCTGGCTTTACTGAACTTCTTTGGAGGACCTCTCATGGTGGTATTGCTGCCAACATCAGAAACTGTTACCTGCCTTGGCTGCTTATGGACTTTTACCTGTGTTCAACTACATGGATGATGTTCCATTAGAACAGGATGGGGTACTTAGATCTGCCCTAGGCTATGTGGGGGGAAAATGGAATTCAGAGATGGAACATGTCAGGAATTTCAAATATCCACAGATGACAGCTGATTGTTGTTCAGTCTGTGGTTCTGACATATTTTGACTTTGGGTAGAAAAGCAGTCAGTAGGATAATATAATTAAAAAAAAAAGTTTCTGTCCTTGGGCTTTTTTTATGCTGCAACTTTCATGTATACTGTAGCAAATGAAATTGGGTGAAGCAGGAGGGACTCATTTGCTATGGATTATTCCAGGTCTGGTGGACTGTAGGATACAGATTTCTTCCATCCCAGTCTGCTGGGCGCAAGATGTGCCCACATCTGGCCAATGCTGAGGAAGTGTGAGTTATAGTGATGCATGCATGCACTGCACGTTGGCCACGAACAGACAAGAGGACGGTGCTTTTACAGGCACTCGGATGAAACTTGGATGAACTGCAGAAATGGCATGATCCTGTTCGTGCTTGCTGACAAAACAGGCTTAAAGTTTGCTAGAGGAACATGGGTATGCTCTTAGTGATGCTCACGCTCTCTAGTCTCGGACCAGGACTATAAGTCTTTCCAGCATCCATATCTGGACTCTAAACATTCATATGAAAGAAATGCTTCCAGAATAGGAAGCATGCTCATACAGGAAATAGAGTTTAACAGAGGTATAGAATATGCTGTGGTGATTAAGCACAATGCTTGGCTAGGCAGAGACTCCTGACCAGCAGCCTGCTTACTCGCATTTGTCTGCTTTTATTCTCTCCCTCACTTCCATTTTACCATACTTGTTTCTCCCTGATCCAGCTGTAGCGCTTTCTTCTAAGACAGATTCTAAACATTCTGTGATAGATTTTATGTGGTCCTACAATCCTCTTCAGACTTCTCACAGCAAACTTGCTCTTTCCTTTAAGACACTTTCTAATATCCCATGACAACATTACTGGTTTCAAAGCTTCTGCTTAAATCTCTTCAAAGTTACATCTGAGTCCTTCCTTTAATGGCTCTTGAACATGTCTTAAGGGTTCTTGTGGGTGGTGCTGTCTCAGTTACCTGCTGTTACCAATCGATGTTTATCACCTTGTCTTTTATGTTGCATAGCAGTTAACCAGACATCCTTACACATATTTTTTGTCTGTTCAGTTTCCCTAAGGTAATGGAAGAATAGAAGTCAACAGCTTTGCCGACTTTGATTTGAATTATCTTGCTCATTGACAGGTAGGGCCCTTCAAACAGCATCATGTTTGGGCTTTGCCTCCTAGGAGGAATGTGATTTTGTTTTGAGCAGAGACATGTGAAGAAACACCACCAATTTGGGGGTAGTATTATGTTGATTTATGACCTTCAGTTTGATTTAAACTAATGCTCTCAGTTCTATTCAGTTTCATCTTGTAAACTGGATACAGCTTGAAACTATTTCTAGAAGTCCTTGAGTTTTCTATAAATGACTGGTAATGAGCAGTTATGAATAATCTGCTAATGTTCTTTTCTAAGCAAATTCTAGTTTCCTCAGGTGTATCTAATAGCTGAATCTCCTATTTAGTCTGCAATTGTGTAAAGATTTCCTCAGGAGAAAATGTTCCAAATTTTAACTGGACATCTTTTAAGGATTACTCAAACTGTGGTGTTTTTAAAGGTCCTGTATTAAATTTGATAGCTGGGTATCACTGCAGGAGATAGTCTATAAGAACTGTGTTCACCAGATTTAAATAGCAGAACTGCTTTCACCTGATGCGCTGTACCTTGCCTGCTGAGTTTCTGAAAGGCCTTAATTGTCAGGAAAGTAAGTGGAATTTGGAGGGCAGCTTTTCTATCTACTCTAAATACCTATCTGTAAAAGATGCTTTAGGGTTCAACAATTGTGACTGTTAGGTTTTCGGGATGCACTGAAACCCAGGAAGCATTACAAGTTCATTTTTTCTCTCTTACCTTAAGCACTGGCCCTTAATGCCGAGTTCAGAAACTTGCATTTAGTGAAGGTGTGCTGACTGACGCGCCGCTTTGCATGTCTGTTGCTGTATGCCAGCTCCGAAAGTGTGATGGGTACACTTTATTAAGAGTAAGGAGATACTACACAGAAGTAGAGATTACCTACATCTTAAGACTGAAGATGGAATGGGTTCCGGTTTTGGAATGTGACCTATTAGTATATTTAGAACCATAAACCAGCTAACTAGTTTTTTGAATGCACTAGTACATACATTAAAGAAGATTGTCACATCTTGTTACAAACCTCAATGAGCTATAAAAACATCAGTAGTTTGTAATAACAATTAGTGATCACTATAATGGTGATCTATTCTGTCTCATCTAGTAAACTTGCAAGCTTTACATTTATTATAAATAATTCTTAAATGTATGAAAGCATCCTAATGGAGGAGGCATAGAAAAACAGTGGTCAAAATCCTAGTATTTTCTAGGAGCAGTCTTACTGCAGAGAACTGTTAATATTGGCCCCTTAATGATTTGTTGTATGGGGAAAAAGTTCTGTTTTATATTCATAGATCTCTTTAAAGATGATACAGGTTTTAACATGAATTTCATTTACAGATTAATATTGTAATAAGCTTTTGTTTCTAAACCGATACAAGTATTCTCCAGTACTTACTTACAGTTTTCCTTCTATGTTACTTCTATCCAGTTTCAGTTATAATACTTCATTATTCGTTATTCACTCTCCTAGAGTCCACCTGTATTTATACACTTCCTCAAAAGGATGTTGCTGAAACCAGAAATACTATCAATAGGTCTGACTAGTTCTCCCCAAGCTCTTGTCCTCTCATATTCTCTTCTCCTTGTGTAATATAGTAACCAAAATTTGACTTTTATTTAGGGAATCTTTGTTAGAGTTAATTCAGCTGTTGCTGTGTTGTGCAGCTTGTACGCAGCGTGCAGGAGGCTGCGGACATCCATCCTGTGATTGCAACACCCTCCATCGAGGGTGGCTGCGGCGCTGGCCCTTGCACCCTGTCCCCGTTGCTGGAGCACCCTGGGGCTCGGCAGGCCCGGGGGCCCTGAGCTGCAGGAGCGGCAAGGGGCTGCGGGACCGGGCCGCCCTCGTGTCCCCGGGCCGCCCTCGTGCTCGGGATGCCCTCGCGCCCTGGGCACCTCCTTGTGCTCCAGCGGCCCCGCTGTCCCCGGGCCGCGCTCTTGGC